AAAAAAAAAAAAAAAAAAAAAAAAAAAAACTTGACTGAGAAATTCAGTACTAGTTGCAATACTATGTTGTTTTTCACTTTAGGCTCACTGCCAACTTACCTGAACTGCAGGTATGGTTTCCAGTGAATGCAACATTATCTCTGCTCTTACTTTATGCTGTCAGTTCTATAACATAATCAAGCTCTAACACACTAATAATCTACCAAAAATAAAGTTATTCACCTAAGCTAAAAACTTTTTTTCACATCCTAAAAACCAGTAGAGATTAAAATGTCATATTGTTATATGAGCCTTTACAAAGCTTTATTTTCAGAAGTCAATATTATCATTGCTTACTTCATAAAAGTAATAATTTAAATAAAATCCTTACCTTCCAACCACTGCCAGCCTCTCTATAATATGGGAAGTTATCACAAATCCACTGATAAATTTCACTTAAAGTCATTTTCTTTTTGGGTGAGCTATTAATTGCGAATGTAATGAGGCTGGCATAACTGTATGGAGGTTTCCCATCTTTGTGCTGTTGGACTTCTTCCTGGTCCAGAGTTGTATTTGGGTCAAGGAGTGCATTCTTCTTAGAAATTCCTGTTCCATGTACATTTTGTGTAGCATCAGATTTTTGGATGGCTGCTCTCATGGTGAGCTGTGGTAACCAGTCCATAGATGTTAGGCTGCTCTCCAGTTCAGATGTCATCCTGAAGGTAAATAGACTCCTTAGTCAATATCAAGGAAAGAACCCCTGCTTCTCAAAATATCCAATATTCACAAATCTAGGAGTTCCAAAGTGAGGGAAAGCCTGAGTTACATCTGGAGGAAAAAGATTGAGTATGTTAATGAGCAAACCAAATATTTAAGGGATCAACATTTCCAATCTTTTTTCTTAATTTTTCCTCACCAAAACACAACTAACTTTGTTTTAAAATTGTTTAAAATACAGAACAATACATACAAAAAAAGTGATTCCGATGCCAATCTTTCTAAAAATCGCTGCCTGTTTCTTTAAGAAGGCAACAGGCTCTAGGTGTGAAAAGCCCAGCTGCAACCCAACTCTTTTACTCACCACCAGCACAAGCCCTTAAAATTTAAAATGTAACTTTGGCATTTCTTTTACATAAATTTTAGGAGAGTCATAAAAACATAATACCAAAAGTAAGGTGGAGGCAAGAGGTCAGAGAAGTAACTGAGAAACTGGCATGAAGGCAAGAAGGCAGAGTTTATGCAGGTAGGAGGTAGGAAGAGTAAAGCAGGGTATACAAGGATTAGCAAGGAGATAAGCTAACTGGGGGAGATGACTGAAAAAAGGAATGCAAAGTCAAGGACACTGATGAGTGAGAGAAAAAGAAAATAGTACCAGGAAGTTACTTTTGTAAAAAAACAAAAACAAAAAAAACAAAAACAAAAAAAAAATCAAGGGACAGGTTTACAAAAACTAAAGATGTGGGAGTACAGAATATAAGGCATTAAATCACAGCAACGGTCAGCAAGAAAAGCAGCATTAAAAACTCAAAGACAGGTTTGGGCAAACATCCACTGATTTGAATTCTACAGTGTATTTCTCCCAAGGCTGAAAAATTCAAACCATTACCACTAAATCTGCCAGGTTAACACATATTCTAGAAAAGGGAGAAAGCTGCTCTAAGAACTGAAGATAAGACCATAGAAACAAGGCTTAACACTTCACATTGGCATTCTTAACTTCAGCAGAGGATATAAGCCCTCTATTACTGGGTCAAAGAAGTAGAAATAATGACTGACAATAAAGTAGAGAAGAATAAAAAAGACTTCTAAGTATGACAAAATAAACAGAAAAAAGACGACAAAATAAAAAAACTTAAAGGTCTCTTTTGACTTAAAGTCAAAAGAAAACATCTGTAACTATGAAAATACCATATAGGCACTTCATTCCAAATGGCTCCAGGCAAAAAGCAACCTTGAGTATTATGTGTAGGATCTGAACAACTTGGAGGCAACAAAGAATTAATAAAGAACAGGGGCTTTGGGGTGAGGAAGACCCGGAGTCTAAATAGTGATTCTAACAGTTACCAGCTGTAGAACTATAGAAATGTTAATTACCTCTACCTCCCAGCTTTCTCATCTGTAAAATGTAACAATAGCACCTATGGTTAAAATATTACTTTGAAAATTAAATGCGATAAAACATGCATAAAAGAAATATTCAGTAAGTGCTGGTTAATAGTACCAGTCTAGGGGTATCTTGGGAGGCCACTAATACACCATAAGGCAAACCAGATTAAGCAAGAGCAATTATAAATCAGACAGCCATGAGGATTCTACCTGCACTGCCAGTAAATTGAGTCCTCTTGATTTTCAGATATGTTGATCCACAATTTTACCTTACTCATTTTTCTCAAATTCCCTCCATCTCTATTGTACACATTCTTCTGAACCTGAACTTTAAATTCATCTATATAGCACCTTCAGAGATCTTTAAAAAAAACCTTCCTATCCTACCCTATAATCTCAACCAGAAACCCCTGCTTCCAGCAAGAAGATATAAGGACTTGCAGAATAAGAAGACAGGATAATTTAGAAATCACACAATGTCAGAATAGTACAGAAAGTACTCTAGAGATCAGAGACTAATACTCAGTGATAAAAAACTGAAGTTAAGGTTCATCCAATTTCACACAGTTAGTTAGCAGTAGTACGAAAATGACAGCCCAGATCTCCTGTTCCCAATCTGTCAGTTTCGCTAACCAGATCTCACCTGTAAAATGAGAATGATAATTTAAATAGCACCCACCTCACTGATGTAAAGTTTTCAGAACAGTGCCAGGCAAGTAATACTTATGTTAACTACTGGTAGTGGTAATAAGAGTGGTTGCTTCCATCATTATTCACATTTCATTCAATAAGGATTGGCTATGTTATACGATGCCGTCATCCAATTTACCTCAGTCAAGTCTCCATGGAATAGAGCTTTATTTTGTTCACATTTCCAAAGCAGCCAGTTACATGCATTTTCATATAAAAGTATATTACAAATTGGAATATAATTGTTATTGCAGGTGCTCCCTACTGAGAACCATCTTTGCCTTCTGCTCCCTTCCACCAGTGCCAGTAATAAGACATTGTGAGAAACTCAGTAATATAGGTATTTACTATGTGTTATATTTAACAAGAATGCATAAATTATACATGTATAAAGAGCTATGTTAGAGTATAAAATAAAAATAAACACAAAGGAAGTGTGGTAAAATTCCTGTCTTCCAGGAACTTATAATCCAATAAAGGTCAGACACAACAGAGAACAGAATAAAAGTACACAGCTGAGCTCTGGGTGCTGTGAAGTTTCAGGAAGAGGAGAAAACAACATGGACTGAAGCCTTGAGGGTAAAGAAGGAACTTCAGCTAAGTCTTCAGCTAAGTTAAGATTTAAATAGACTGGAAAGAAAAAGGACCCTAGTCTCCAAAGCCATGATGTGTAAAAATTATTCCACTGTGCTTATAATTCATCAGTTCTGCAAGAGCAAATTTTAAGTACGCTATAAAAAGTCTCAAATTTAAACTCTAAAAAAGTGGGGCTTCTGTTCTGTTTGCAATTTCTTAAATTTTATATAAGCATTCTTAGTAAGGAAGTAAAAAGTGCCTCCATTGTTGGGACTTAGGCTGGTGGCTATTGTGGTTCTCCATTAAGCGTGGAGAACACAAAAGATGACCATTAGATTTGGCCAGATCACCAGTAACTTTAGCAACAACCTTATTAGGCTGGGTGCAGCGGCTCACACCTATAATCCCAGCTCTTTGGGAGGCCAAGGCGGACAGATCACTTGAGGTCAGGAGTTCGAGACCAGTCTGCCCAACATGGTGAAACCCTGTCTCTACCAAAAATACAAAAGTTAGCTGGGTGTGGTGCCACATGCCTGTAATCCCAGCTATTCGTCAGGCTGACGCAGAAAAATCACTTGAACCCGGGAGATGAAGGTTGCAGTGAGCCAAGGTCACACCACTGCACTCCAGCCTGGAAGACAGAGTGAGACTCTGTCTCAAAAAAAAAAAAAAGAAACAAACTTATTAGTGGAATGGTGATGACAGAAGTCCACTTGTATAAGAGAACAGATGGTGGTGAATTTAAAAACAGCACGAGGCTCTGAGGAATCTGGTTATGGAAATCTGGTTAAGAAATGTCAGGCCCTCATTACCTCACCTCATTCCAAAAGCTTCCTAGCTGGCTTCCTAGACTCTGATGTCTCAACTACCACTCCCTGTTAATAATATCCAGTCCATGCATACACTCCAAAAGAAATGTATCAACACTACTTTCATGTCATTATGCCTAGACTCTTTCAATGATTCCCTAACTCCTACTATACAAAATCTAAATTCCTCATTTTCAACTACTTTAGCTTTTACTGATTTTTTATTAAGCCTTCTCTTAATTCCTAGAGCAATTATAACCTCAGTTTGGCAACTGACATGTTGTTTCACATGCACGGTGAATCATATGCTTAAGCCTTCTACCTTCATCTCTTCTCCCCCTACCACTATGGACAGTGACCACACATTAGTACTTCTGATGCTACCTAATACCATGCCAGGTACAAGTTATCTGAAAAATAACATGGTAATTGGATAAGGAATAAAGGCTTTCTTTTCTGGAATGCCCTTTACTTACCCATCTGCCAGGCTGGCTTTTACTTCTTCAAGACCAAACAACTCCCCCCTACAGAAAGCCTAGTCAATCCCCTTTCCATCCTCTATCTCCTAAGCTAAAGGAGCTATTATTCCCAAAGCAAAGTATAAATACCTCTATCATAAAATTTACATGAAACTGTGATTATCTTTATCTACCTCTCTCCCAAAGGACTCTGATCTCCTTGAAAGAAGAAACTTGAAATAGTAACTGACCAATGAAGGTATGGGTGAGCTCCTCCTCAAACAAGTGAGACTGTAACAAGCTCAAAAGTTAAAAGAAAGAGGTGACATAGAGTACTAAGTAGCAGAAGGTAAGGGTACTTATAGGTTTAAAGTCCTTGGTAAGACAGAAAAAAGGATGACTCAGAGCACAGATTGACACGCAGCATTACACAGGAAGAGAAACCATTCTACAGGAATAACAGAGAAAAATGAGAATATGGAAGTAAAGATGAAAAGCACATAATGTTACTTGTGGGAGAAAGCAAGGCATGGAGAATAATTTATGTCTGAAGTTCTTAAATCTACATGGTAACTGCTGCTTAAAAGAAGTTCCTCTTCTGGCTAGCGTCAGCGAGAAAAAATAAAAAATAAAGAAGTTTCATAAGGGATTTTTTTCTTCATAAAATTAAAGGATAAGGAGCATCAGGCTATAACAACTCCAAACTAAGTCATATCACAGGGGTTTTAATCCCACTTTATGAAACACAGACACTCGTATGATCCCATATATGATTTTGGCTACTTTAGTACACTGCATGGCCTCCCTCTACAACTTTCCTGATTCCCAAAGTGTAGCAAAGACTGACTCCAAAAGTTTTTCAAGTTTCAATGGTATCAAAAACCATGGGGCAAATGGGTAGAGATACTGTTGGCTCCCTAAATGGAGGTAAGAGAAAGACACCAAAGAAAATAAAAAGAATAGGCCGGGCGCGGTGGCTCAAGCCTGTAATCCCAGCACTTTGGGAGGCCGAGGCGGGTGGAT